CAATGCTTTAATTAACAATTTGTTTGCCAATTTTGCTACTGGTAACGACCAAAGATTTGAAACAAAAGAAAACCAACTAAAAAATCAGTCGCTCACGGATCGTTGACTAGGATGGACGGGCACACTTTGCACCTCTGAAGGATTAACGTGTAAACACATCGAGTTATCTACGAGGGATAAGTAGAAATATCAAATCCACAGACATTTTCAATTTTTGTTTATTTAAATTTGGATTTTCTTTAAAACTTTAATAAGCAACCGAATTTTATTTTCATTTCCTTTCTTTTATTTATAAACATCAGTTATTTAATTTTATCGTTGATATACGATTAGAAGATCCTTGTTTATTTCAAATACCTCCCAATTAAATTACTCTGTAGCGAACTTGGTTATATTACCGGAATTAGTGATTATCTAAGTTCACATGGGTGTCGACACCGGGGGAGGAGAACCTCCTCCAGTCGGTCTGAAACCCAATCTTCAGGTTATACCTTCGGCCCGTAATAATAGACCAAATACACATATTTCATTGCAAGACATTATACAACTCAATAGTAGTCCAGTCGTTAAGTCAAGTACCAATGAAAACAAGCGGATATTCACAGGTTCTCTGTCGAATTAATATTCGAAAAGTATGATTAAGGAGAAATCAGAACTAATTGCAGAAAGGGAAATATTTCGCCAAGAGACAAAACGGCGCCTAGCTAACAATCGATTCAATAATAACGACTCGGGACCATTTTTCGTTTTTGTGGAGGGTGCCGGAAAAAATTTGGGCAACGTGCACCCTATGTTATTCGGTAAATGGTTATTCCAAGATCCATTGTTAGACAAAAAGTCAATAATAGACATTCGGACATCTGGCAAAAACCGTATCAAAGTCACAACAGCCACGAGAGATATAGCAAACTATTTGACAGAAAGTGAGATGCTAACAAAAGAAAATTTAACTGTCTATATTCCTGACTTTCTAGTGAAAAGGAAATGAGTTATTAGGTCCGTTGATATTAACTTACCCACTGAGGAAATTCTAAAATATATGCAATCTACGGTAGAGCCAGTAACGGTCGAGAGGATGCGAAGGATCGAGAATATCGGGGACCAGGTAAGAATTACCCCGTTATCCACATGCGTGATATCTTTCCGAGGCCAAAGTATCCCGGAATTTGTCTCCATTTATGGAAGCTATTGCCCCGTGAAACCACATATACCCCCTGTTAGGCAGTGTAGCAACTGCCTGCGCTTTAATCATGCTGCCCTTCAATGTATGAGTAAACATCGTTGTCTGAAATGTGGCGAAGAACACACAATAAAAGAGTGCACTAAGTTGGACTCCGATGTAGTATGCATTTTGTGTGGGAAAGATCACCTTGCGGATAGCAGAGAGTGTGAACTCTATAAAAAGAACGTAGAAGCGAACAATATAAAGTTTGGGGGCAATTCCTATGCCTCTGTAGTGTCTAGAAACAAATTCGACATTCTTTCTAACGTACAAGAGAACCCAAAAGATCAAGAATTCCCTACCCTCCAGACTGCTCAGGTAGCGCCCGCCCGGCGATAGTTCAGGAAACAGCTTATTAGAAATCCCCACCCAGAGAAAAACTCTGATACAAAAACTACCCTCAAACCTAAATATCTCCCTCCCCAAACGGGCAAATCCGCCCAGTCCAGTCAAGGCACACCAATAAATCCCCACACTTCAACTGAAACAGAAAGATATGTCCACCTACTAACAAAACTGACTCAAAACATAAGCTCACATAAAATGTCAAACAAAGAAATGATAGACGAGATAGGCCTAGTGCTATACAACATAGTACAAAGTAATCCACAAATTATTGGAGAACTACGAAATGACTACCGACCCAACACAGCAATGGACATATGTGGCAATACCGAATCTGAAACAGAATCAGTATGATTACAAGCATCCTCAACACTATCGATCGCAACTAATTACCTGAAGCATCCCCTCATCTCTCCCAGTCAACTAACGATACTCAATAATGGTTCGAGATGGAATTCCTAAAAACATAAAGTATTCCAAAATATTACAATGGAACATCCGGTCCTTATCTATGAACATAGGATTCTTGGAGTTGCTTATCATGAGGGAAAGCATCGATGTCGCACTTCTATCGGAAACATGGCTCAAAAAGACTCACTCCCCCAAAATTCCGCATTATGACATAATCCGTAATGACAGAGCCGACGGGTATGCTGGTTGCGCCATTTTAATAAACCATAATATCAAATACGAGCACATAGACGTTGTGGGAAACCGTTCCCGGGAAGCAGGGGAGATACTGTCCAAATATCAGCCATTAAGGCCAACATTGGCCCCCAAGGGCTCACGATCGTCTCGCTTTACATAAGTCCCAAAACCAAAACCAAAGACCTTAAATGGAATGACATACTTGGACAATTTTCGCACCCTCTTCTAATAGGGGGGGATTTTAACGCAAACCATCAATGCTGGGGGTGTTCAAAGATTACCCTTCTTGAAACTCTCGATCAGACCGGAATGTGTTTTCTGAATGATGGCTCCCCGACTCTAGTTTCACTACCGGGTAAGAATCCATCCGCGCCAGACGTTACAATAATATCTGCTCCTCTTGCAATATCAGCCGTATGGGAAGTCCTCCCTGACCGCCATGGCTCGAACCACTATCCTATACAGATAGTGATATATAGTGATATATATATNATATATATACAGATAGAAAAGGATAATAGGGACCGAAACAGAAAGAGCTGCCCGAAACGATGGAAACTGGACAAGGCCCGATGGACGCAGTATTCTGTAGATATAGAACACGCCATTAAAACCACTCCTCCTCTTAATTACAACGATTTCATGACAATTATTGGGTTAGCTGCGGATAGCAACATCCCCCGTACCTCGGGCACAATGGACATGGGATTATCAGTATCGGAGGAAAAGAGTGCGGCCATGATAATCTCACCCAGAAGGAATATTGCACAACCTAAGGTAATTCAGCTTGGCCCCTATCGCATCAAGACCTACTCGGTCTTCAAATTTCTGGGAGTAACCATTGACCGAAAAATCCTATGGAAGCCAGGCATAGAATATGTTGAACAGAAAGTTGAAAAAGCGATGAATATTCTAAGATGTACTTCCAAAGTCCAGTACGGGTCCCACCCAAGCATTGGGTTACTGATGGACCGCGCCCTCATCCAGTCGCGTATTGATTATGGCTCGATATTCTACAGCAGTGCGGCAAAATCCCACCTAAAAAAGCTAGACACCATCCAACACAGAGCAATAAGACTTTGCTTAGGGGCACTACCCTCTACGCCTACGAACTCCCTCAAAGTAGAGGCTAACATTGAACCCCTGCACTTAAGAAGAATAAGACTAGCATCTAAATTTTTAGCCACTCGGATGCACGATCCCTATCACCCTGTTGTTGTGGGGCTGGATGCACTTGCTGCCTCATACTTTTGTGGGTCCCATAAAGTTCCAATGACTCCCCCCTTGCTTGAAACCCATATGCTAATGAAATGTATATCTCTGGGAAGGAAAATCCGACCACCAAACTCCAAGCTACACTGGCTCACTCCCCTCTATGTACCTAGGTCATTACGTGTCAGCAGGATTTGCAAGAACAGGATTACATTATCGGTTGTTTTGAGACTGGACGAAGCCCCTTGACTACGGTTGGTATATACGGATGGCTCAAAATCCCAATACGGGGTTGGGGCAGCGGTTTTAGACATAACAAATGAACACTCCATCCAGTTTAAACTCCCATCATTTTGTACGATATATGCCGCCGAAGCTCTAGCGATAAGGGAAGCTATAAACTACATCGTAAAGTTAAAACTATCAAACGCGGTAATTTTCTCGGATAGCTTTAGTGTTCTGACGGCTTTAAAGAAAACGGATACCCCCGAAGATCCATTATCATAGAGATCAAAAGCATTATGCTATCTTCTGCAAGTCACATAGCTATCCACTTGCTATGGGTTAAAGGTCACAGTAGGAACAAAGATAACAATCGGGTGGATATACTGGCGAAAGAGGCAGCGCTGGCCGGAATCCACATAAAAGAAATTGCAGCCTCGGACATTATATCGCATATCAGATCCTTATTGCGCAAGAAATGGCAAAGCGAATACGGGCTATCATCCCAAAATAAAGGCCTATGGTTTTCCATGTCCCAACCATCCTTACAGACCAAATCGTGGTTCTCAAATGTGAAAAGAAATAGAAGATTCTTCACTACATGTCAATCACAATAGACTCCCAGCACATCTTCATAAAATAGGGATTCTACCAACCAACAAATGCCTGTGCGACGATAATTCAACGGCGGATTTAAACCACATAGCATGCCCGTTGAAATCTTCCGGAAGAGAATATATTTTTGAGGTTCTCAAGAAATACAAAATCCCTCTCCCTAGTTCAGTGAATCTAATATTAGCCAACACGAAATACATTTAAGTGCTCGATTCCATCTACAAATTCATATCACAAAATGAAGTACATATATAAGTAATTAAATACGCTTGATGCTGGGGGCGGCCGGGGGTGGGCCCTTCGGTGACGGTGTGGCCAAGGGGGCCGGTGGGGGGACGTCCCGGGACTCTCTGGGCGTGTTTTGCCCCGGACTGCGGAATGGGGGTGGACTTTTCCAAGGGTACACCGTACCATGTAAGGTTTTTATCCACCGCCATCGGGAGCAGCCCGGTGTAAGAGAAGAGGGTAGGAAGACCCAGTTTTAAAAGGGGAGCCCGGATGTCCTACCTGGGTGGCCTCGGGGGCCGTGCTGTCTCGGCGGGGGTCGACCTCCAGCGGCTGTCAGCACCAAGTAACGAAAAAAAAAAGATTCGTAAATTAAATTACGAAATGTAAATACACGACTAAAATGCCGAACGTAACAACGATTGAAAGTGTAAATTCTACTCACTAAAAATGTTTTACATTTTCAATTTTTTAAGCTTGACGAATAGAAGATGGTCAAAAATAATAAATGAAATAGAAATAAATCAATCTAATTTACAATAAAGGTAGAAAGAAGTTTCTTCATGTGTCATATTTTGTCTGTTAACGACCTCTTTTTAGTAATCGCCCTAGTATTACTAAAATTATCCCGTCCAAGTATGTACATATATGATCACTAGACGACTACACGCATGAGGAAATTAGAGGTAGGACTTCGAACGTAGTTTTGCACGTTCCACCAGGAAATCAGACCATTCGTCCGATTAATCCTGTTTGTTATTCAACCTGCATCACAAACTATTACAATATCAAAACGGAAGGTCGGGAAGTTACGAAAAGGATGAAAACGGTCTCGAATTTGTAATTAACGTTGGGTGAATAATTTATTTGACAAAACAAATTTTCCAGAAGGAGTATGCTGGTGATTTGCTATTTTTTATCTTTTACCGTCAAAAACCCATTTCTTAAAAAAAAGTAAAGAGAAAAAATATACAATACAATGCTTATAACTAACTCAACGTTAATAAAGAATAAAGCACTATAATATACATCAATTAAAAACGACAATAAAACCATTATAAATAAAACAGCATAAAGATTTAATTAAACCCCCTGTCTATATAATCTTAACGACTAGGAATTATAAAAAATAATATAATAAAGTATTATAACATATAATATTTTATTATTATTATTATAAACACACTTTATTACTTTATTATTATAACCACAACACATATGTGCAGGTGCCCCTTATGTAGAGGAAGGTTGCTTGATGTGTTTCACATAATAAAGGCGTGTAGGCCTTGGCTCCATAAAGAGAGTGTGTAGGTGTGCGCCAGTCTTAAGAATGGTACTAGGACACAGTAGTAAGTTTCAGGTTCCAATGTTCCACTTTAATGGGATTTGGATTTTTTTTGATTGTATATAGTCGTCAAAATATAGTCGTGTCAAGCCTTGGCTCCACACAGAGAGCAGGTATGGGATTTTTTTATTGTATATAGCCGTCAAAATATGTGTTTTGTGTTTCTGTGTTTTCTATGAGTGAGTGTATTTATTAGAGTGAATGGGGAGGGGCTGATGGTGAAATAGCATCCCCATTGCTCCTCGAGCTGTGTACTTGGGTTGATGATGGATTATTTGTAAAAGTACTCTATCGGCCCTAATTAGATTAGTTTGTTATCTACTAAATAGAATGAATGCAATGTATATAGGTGTGAATGTATTTATTTGTGTGAGTGCATATTGAGTGTATATTGTTTAGTTCGCATATGCTCGGGGCTGAAATGACCAAGCTGTTGGATGGGCCTAAAAAAGAAAGAAAAAAGAAAACAACATAGTACATTTTTAGCCTTTTTTGAACAAAATAAAATTATTTTGCTTTAACTAACTGATGTTTTAATGAGGAAACAGAAATATTAAATAAATCAACAGTATTGCATATATATCATCATGCGAAGATGCATGGGGGAGTTTAGTGAAAAATGTGTTCCCTTATTTATACTCAATAAAAAATATTTTCTGATTTTTGAGGCAGCAAGGAGGTACATTGGATTTCTGTATTTCTGGAGAAACCATACAATCATTAATTAATTTGAAAATAAAACTAATCTCAAAATACTTTATTCTGCAACCAAGATCAGAAATATTGAAGTAAGATTTAATGGGAGCACAAGAGGATTTATCATTATGACAGTTTAATTTGAAATATAATGCATGAAGGAATTTATTTGGAACAGTTTGTAGAAGTTTTATATCAGTGTACTGTCATCCAAGACTTTCCCTCATTTTTATACATATGTATTGTAAATATTTTTACTTCTTGTTTTAGTTTGTAACAGCAATATGCGTTTCTCTGTGCTCGCTAGTTGTGGGATTTGCCAGTGCTTACACTTCTCCAGCGCTTGTTTCGATGAATGAACCCGGGAGCAGACTTCACGTATCCCCCCAAGAGGTAGACTTTTCTTTCAAGTTTTAGTTTTCAATGCAATTCTAATAAAATACATGGAAAAGGCGTCTTGGATAGGAGCCCTTTTACCTTTGGTCGCACTTGTAGGAGGAATACTCGGTGGACCTCTGATAGAGCACTTCGGAAGAAAAAGGACCATACTTTGTAGCGCCGGTCCTTTTATTTTCTGTAAGGTTTTCTTCATACAATGGAAAATTCTGTTTACACAGTGAGATAATTGTTGTAGCGTTTCTTCTGATCGCCTTTGCTCGGAATGTAGCCATGATTATGGCTGGAAGAGCAATCGGTGGATTCAGCATCGGCGTTGCAAGTCTTGCACTCCCACTTTACCTTGGTGAGTGTCTGCAAGCAGACGTCAGAGGGACTTTGGGACTTTTTCCTACGACATTTGGCAACGGTGGAATCTTGTTGGCATTCTTCGCTGGGAAGTATCTCACCTGGGACAAGCTCGCTTTATTTGGGGCAACCCTTTCCGTCCCTTTTATGGCCCTTATGTTTTTCATGCCAGAAACGCCCAGGTGGTATGTCAATAAAGGTAAAATAAATAATATTTATCAAATTAAGAATACAGCTAACAGTTTTTTTTTTTTCCCAGGAGAGCAGAAAAAAGCTAAAAATGCTCTCCAATGGCTTAGGGGAAGTTCTACTGATATATCTAAAGAATTTTCTGATATTTGTGGAGTGGATAACCTTGATGGTAGTCCTTCTTCACCCATATCTGAGCTCTTCACAAAGAAATATCTCCTTCCTATATCGATTTCTTTGGGGCTCATGTTTTTTCAACAATTGAGTGGTATCAATGCTGTCATTTTCTACACCGTCAGTATCTTCAAGGTACTAAATTTATATAAAATTCTTAAGCATAAATAATGGAATTTATTAAAAAAATCAACATAATTTTTTATATTTCAGGATGCTGGTAGTACGATAGACTCCAATCTCTCCTCAATAATAGTCGGTTTGGTTAACGTTGGTGCAACATTGATGGCAACTCTGCTTATTGATCGCCTAGGCAGAAAAGTGCTCATGTATATTTCAAACAGTCTGATGACATTGACCCTTGGAGTTCTTGGCACTTTTTTCTATCTTAAAAACCAAGGGTATGATATGTCCCAATATGGATGGGTCCCACTGTCAGGATTTGTCATTTATGTAATTGGCTTTTCCATTGGAGCTGGTCCAATTCCATGGCTCATGATGGGAGAAATACTACCAGGTAACATCCAATACTATCTCAGCAGACTTAAATGTTTATAAAAAAAATTAAAATAATATTTTCTCTATTCTATTTAGCTAAAATAAGAGGCACTGCTGCATCAATTGCCACAGGATTTAACTGGACTTGTACATTTCTTGTAACAAAGACATTCATAGATCTACGTGAACTCATTGGTGCGGAAGGCGTTTTCTGGCTTTTCAGCATGATCTGCACAGTCGGTGTGGTTTTTGTTGCAATTTGCGTGCCTGAAACACAAGGGAAAAGCCTGGAGGATATCGAACGGAACTTCACTGGTGAAAATCTTCCAGTGCGAAGGGTGAAGAGGCTTTCATCTCTCGCAAGCATCAAACCGCTTCCAAGCTCTATTTAAATTTTTATAATCTCTGCGCAAACCTGTGATTTATGTTCCTATTTAATTTATTTTTAATGATTTATTCTATGCTGAATTCTGTTACATGTTCTAAATAAAATTATTAGCTTGTTTTTATTTTTTTCCAAGTCAAGTAAAGACCCATTGTATAATTAAATAACTATGAACACAACTTATTTAGCAGGATTTAGGCCTGATAAGGCTATACAAAAATGTATACATACAAAATAAATATACTGTACAACGGAAATTAAACTAAAAAGTGAATCTGAAAGTAGGTATTATCTGATAGAGGATCTGATAGCTAAGGACGTGTTGCCTATGGTAAGAAGGGCATAACCACTACAAGTTGATGGGGGAACAGAAGGAAATAGGGTGATTGTAAGGAAAGGAAAAAAGTGTTGGATCCAAACACAACACTCTCAGTCTTTTCAAAGTTCAAGTTACACCAAGATCAAAGGTTTAAGGTGAGGGCACCTATTGGTCCTGACTCCTTTATCGGCATACCAAATTGTCCAAAAACAAATATCTATTAATCAATGGGTTGAAAACAAGAATTCTGTTCAATGGGATTGTATTCCAGGTCAGAGGCATGCTAAAAAGTTCATCAAAGATCCATTGTAGAAACTAATGACATAACTTCTAAACCTAACACATGTTAAGACTGGAGTTGCTGGCTGGATATTGTAGACTCTGGAGGGATTTGTTGGGGCAGCAGAAAAAAAGACAGATATTGCCAGGAAGAAGTAGAAACTACAAAACAAGTTCTTTTTTAATACAAAGTCTAGTCAGGCTGAGATTCATACTCATGAGAAAGGAAAAGCCAAGCCCTGAAGGATACACAGGTAGCCCCTAACAACAAAGCTTGTGGATCTGATAAAAAGCTTAATGAAGAGCTATAAACAGTGCTGAAGATTGCACAATCGTGGTGCACAAGATCGTAAAGAGGTTATCTCCTTCTAACCTTAAACTTAACCAAAAACACCTGAATTCATCCATGCTGAATGAATTGTTGGGACAAAGTAGAGTCTGCACCCATTAGATTGAACATTTATGATCATCTCATTCTGCTTATTCTCACAGATTTTTTTTCCTGTCAGGCCTGTGTCGGCATTTCATCATTCTAGTTGGTTAGGATTTCTTCTTTTTATTACTGAGTTATTTTTACAAATAGTCTTTTTGCTTGTTTCATATCAGGTGTTTCTAGAATTTATTGTGCTCTCTAGTTACCCTAGAATCTAATTATTTTTCATTTAGTTTTTATTTATTTATGCCTCAAAATGGATTTGGGTGTGTGTTATTGCAAGGTTTCCTTTTTTGGCAAGTATATCTGCTACTTTGTTGCCTGAAATTCCCTCATAATCTGTAACCCACCTTAACATCACACTATTTGTACATCCAGTTTTTTTTCCATTGGTAAGTATGTCGGGTTCGAATGCAGGGCTGCTGGATTTAAACCCGGGACCTTTACCTTACATGATGAGCGCTGGGTACAGCTAAACCATTGCTCCCACCAATGCCCCCATTAGCACTTGCTAACATGAAGATTGTTGTTAACTAGGTTAAAATGACAAAACTACCAGTTTTTCAAGGGATATTATAATCAGATTATTTTATTAAATAAAATGATACAATTCAGTCATAGAAACAATATATTAAAAAGTCTCAACATTTCAAACATTTAATAAAGATCTAAGAGCTGTTAATGGTTGAGTGTTGTTGCCTGTTTTTGTTAGTAACAGAATTTTCTCCAATAACAACCCATAAATATGTACACAAATTAGACTTTATTGAGCCTCGGTACATTGTATGTATCGAGTACAGAATAAAATTTCATCGCCAACAGTTTGATCATTTTTATTCAAAAAAATCATTTGACTAAGGATTACCACAATTGGCACGATCAAACTGCTAACAATTTACAAACTCACAGACCACTCAGCGTATATTCCACATATTGCACTGTTTGAACTTAAATTTAAAATTTGATTTTGCTTTTTTGACTAAAATGTTTGTTGTTTGATACTATTGGAACAACTTTGGATACATCAATTTCATCGTTATCTACACTACAGTCTATACTTCTCTAAGCTCTTAAAACATCCTCTATTTTTCTTTGGTTATTTTATTTTTATTATAAGTAGAACTTGTAAATTCTAAGTAATGGATAGCATAATGGAATAAAGAAATTTAATTTCTATGTTTATTACTAGTTTAGTCACACACTTGGCGTGTGCATTAGTAACGAGTGTACTATCAACTACAAATTATCTAAATACCAGAGCCTAACAATTACTAATGAAAACATAACATCTAAAACATTAGGGTTAATCTCTCAGCTAAATTAATTTTTATATCTTTGGCTACGTTTCTAAAACAGAAAGCTAGTTCCAATTTTGAACGGAGTATCAATATACCTACATTTTTGCCATCGCAAAAACCTTTTGTTATTTGAGTTGAACATGTATTTACCAGTGATATTTTCCCCATTTTTCTAAAATATTTTTTTTTATAATTCTTTATAAAACCAGTTTTTCAAAAATGGACATTTAGATTTAACAAGTCACAGGTTGAAGGATTATTATTTCAAAATATCTTTTATTATTTCACACTAATTCTTACCTCTATACAGATAGAAACACTGAGATTTCAAATGTACATTTTTTACACCTGCTTCAGGAACTTGAATATTTTCTCATTGTTGGAAGTCCAAATGGATCAGATCTATGCTTTTATAATTTCACACTCGATTTTATCTTAATAAATACAACTCTTTTTGGTGTTAACAAATGTAGAAAATATTGAAGCTAATATTATTATTTTAATCCCATCCACACTTGGTTTTGTTTAAAGCAGTCTTCATATACATTTGGTCACACATTATTCGCTTTGATCAGTGTTTGCAATAAACAATTTAAACTAATAAAACAATAAATATATAAACTTTTAGGCACATTTAAAACAAAATATGTAAAAGGATAACAAATCAAAATTCACATTAGTATTCACACTTAAAAGTTATTTACATCGGCTGGTACTTTTCATCTAACAATGACTAGAACTATCGGCCAGTCTCAATCGGTCTATCTGTTCTTGTGTCTCTCTAACTCTTGCTTCGACTTGGATGCGCTCTCTTCTTAACTGTTCCACTTTTTCTTTAAGTGACAAGTTTTCATCTGTGGAAGAAAAATGAAGAATTTGAGAATACACACTAAAATTGGTATATAAGTCTGATAGAGATCAATAACATATTGACCACCACTATTTGTGATTTCTATCCATGCACTTCTATCAATAATGTAAAGGAAAATTCTACATTTTTCAACTTTAAGGAATGATTAAGAATATTCTCAATCTAAAGAAACTGACTAAATTTTTAACTGCTTTTTAAAGATAGCAAACCGTACTACACATCACACTTAAAAGTCACGCTTTTAGGTTATTTATCATAATTGTACTATTTATTAGCATTATCCAGGTCTTCCTATTCATGCTGGTTTGTATGGCACATTTCAGCGTTTTTATATCTGTGTTGATCAAGGATATAACCTATGCAACATCAAATTACAAGCAATCACAATCACTTGAGATATACCACAATTTTTCAAGAAAAAAATCTTAAAAGAGGTTATACTGACAAAAAATTCTCATAAGATCAACTAGCCAATCAGCCAATCTGAATGAATTCCAAACCTCTAAAATGTAGTATGTTGCAGTCCAAAAGTACAGAAAATAAAAATGAAACAAGAGACATTCCATGTTTCAAGCTGAATTGCTCGCCATAGAAGCATGTGTATAATAATTTTTTGTGTGTTCTTTTTACAACAGTATTTATTTTTATACTATAAATAAAATTGCTGACGTGCAAATTGAAAAAAAAAGACAAAATCTTAAACTAAGTGGCACCAGAGAGTGAAGAATCACTCAGTGGTGACACTTCTGCAAGAGTCTACATGTTATGACTCGCTGTCCAACTGGTCGCGAGGCCACTGCCGCTTCAATCTCTTTGGGGGATTATTGGGGATAGTTCAGGATGTCAGGTTTAAAACTAAAGTCTAGGAAACATAACTTACAAGCTTACCTCTAATGGCATCTGTGGACATGTTCGATATATCGTAGTCATCAGGAGGATTTTTTAAGAGTGTTTTCTGCAATTTGTCAAAAGTAGAACTGCACACATAGACTTTTCGTTTAACAGGTTCGCTCTGAGGGCAATATTTTGATTCCACAGCTACTTGGTTTCCAAGATCAAATGATTTAAAGGGCACCAATGGTGTTTTTGGAGTTGGTGTTTTGTCTGCTTGAATTTTACTGTTTTGAATGTTTATTATTTCATTGTCTTGCCAAAGTGTAAGGGTATTTCTAGATTTAAAAGGGTTCGTGTTCATTTTTTGTATTTTGGGCGACATGTGGCTGGGGCTGTATGTTTGATCGCCGTTCCGGATGATATCAGCGCCTTTGGACAGTTTGAACTGTTCTCTTTCCCCACCGCTTGAATTTTGCCTAGAGTGTGTTCTTGTGTTTTGGTTCCTAAGCCTCGGACTGAAGGTGATGGTATTTTTGTACAAATTTTCATTCCTGTCGATGGATGTAGTTTCAAGAGATATGGCATTATTGACATAGTCATTTTCTTGGTAAATTTCAGTCATGTTGCTATGTCTTTCTATATTTTTAGGGGATTTATTCAATTGACTTTGAAATTGTTGATTAGCCTGTTTTTTCTTCGATTTGAGGCTTTCACCTGATTTATCGGATTTTTTTGAATCTGTATTTCTAACTATTATTTTTTCAAGAGTTTTAGAAATAGTTTTGAAAATTCCTTCTTCGTTTTCTATTTTTGGAACTGGATTGTTGTTTATTGTTTCTTCTAAAAGGTTTATCTGTGATTTAATGTCACATTCGTTTGGGTAGTGGAGATAACTGGAGCGGAAATGAGGTTGGGTGTTAGGGACGATTGCTGATTTTGTGCTTAAAGTCGGCGACATGTATTCAGGGTGGTAGAAGGGTTTAGTTCTGAAGTCTCCTATTAAATTTTCAGCTTCTCTTATAAGCTCTCTGTATTTCATATCGCCTTCTTTATCAACATTCTTGCTGTCCAGTCTTGGATTATTCCTCGGCGGAAGAGCAGGAGGAGTATCATTGTAACCAGCGATTGAGTTTGAGCGTTTCTTAGCCATGGGAGATTCTCTCTTTGGAATATTTTTTTCTTCAAAGCCGTTTCTTTTTTCGACAGAATTTGAATTAATTAACTTTGAAACATGGGGATTTTTTAGATACTTTCCGTTGTACTCGAGGACACCGTTTCTTCTAAGAGAGACAGGTGTTCCATCTGCACTTCTTGTACCGCTACGTTGATTAATAATCCTTTCCATTAAAACTCTATTTAAGTTTACATGTCTTCCTTGTTCATAATTAACCCTCTCCGAATCAGGGATTGCATGCGTTCTGATGTTCGGGGATAGAGGTTTTCCTAATGGAGCCTCTCTGGGAAGGCATTCAGCAGAATGTATTCTTTCCCTCGATGAATGCTTGTGTCTTTTCTTGTAACGTTTCGGGGTAGTCTCAGCTGAAGGATGATGAGAATCTTCACTCTTCCTGGAGCTGGCACGTCTCCTCCTGTTGCACAAGCTCGATCCATGTGAAGACGCCACGCTTCCATCTCCGCTGGATCGCTGTCTTCTCATCCTCAAACATTGCCTCTTGCACATGTCCGGTGTATGGTTACCTCCGACATACATGCAATGACCTTTGTTTAACACTTTACCTGAAACATACGAAAATGCTATTATCCACTAGAACCATAATTTTTCAAACCACGTTCAAACATCGATACACATAGACAGGACAGTACTGAGCAATGACAGTTTAAATTTTAGAGAAGAGTGTAGTGAAGAAAAGGTTTCTGGTTGAAGATGGAAAACATCTTAAGTGAAACTTCAGTCCATTCATCTGTCATGCTAATACCTGTAAATTCAGTATCAGAATTAGGAAATTCTGCAATGGATCCTGTGTCAATAAAATCAAGTTCTTCATGTCGTTCACATCGATGTAGACTGGAATTATCTGCACAAAATTACCAGCAACATGCTGGGGCTGTATATTTTTTAAAGGTTGAAAAGGCAAGTGGTAAACGGCCTTGTTCTTACCGTTGTAATCGTGCTGTTCTTCGCAGTCTGTCGGGTCGCTGTCGCTGAGGATGTCCGTCTCTTTCTCGTAGACGTAGCTCTCATCGTATTTTCCGAGCATTTCGTTCAGAGTCACGTCATCGTCGGAGAAATCGCTGGAATTTCCGTGGTGGTTGTCGTCGGATCCAGAGCTCGGTGCTGATGTAGAGGAAGACGACGTTCCCGGTAGGATGTGCCTGCAAGGCCGATTCAGCTGCGGCGAGCAAGTAGTCATTGTATTAATAGGCCTGCGACCGTTCACCAATCTGAAAAATTTTAAATTCACATAATTGGGCATAAAAATGGTAGGAGTCTCATATCAGGGAGTATCACGATCGTTTATAAATATTTTGAATAAAACAGGACGATGGATTGAGCCCTGAGATACACCTGCAATTAGACTAATTTTGAAAAACAGTTATTTTACTTACGGGCTTGCTACATAAGTGCCACTTCTGACCACGTTGACATTCCGAATGTTGTCAATTTTCCTTTCCATAAGGGTCGGCGTGTACAAGCCAGGTTCTTCTTTGGCCAGACGCTCCCGATATCCACTCGACGATAGTGTAGAGCTGCTGCCGACGGTCGAGGATGTCTCGCCCGGGGAGTTGTAATTTTTGCCCTTGTCCATTTGTAAATTGTTCGTTCCGAGCCAGGGGTTGGTCCTAATCCTGTTCCGTTGCCTGGGGGACGCCGAGGATAGGAACGGGGAGACGCAGTGGATTGAGCCGGCCGTGTGGGTCGACGAGGAGCCCTCCGAGTCTCTTTCCGTGACCAGGTTGAATCTCTGACCACCGTCGAAAGATTCAGTTCTCCTGTGGGAGACATTCTGGACGAGCTGGGAATTTTTTCTCTGCGACTGGAAAAAGTTAGACATTCGTTATGGTTATTATGGGTAGGGATTTAATATTATTTATTTAGAAATCGTGTGATGCGGTCTGGTGTGATGGTTAGGTTGTAGGTTTTAAGAAAAACATTTTCTTTATCGTGCCAACCTCTCTCCTCTCACTTCTCTTTCTCTCTTTCTTTCTTTCCTTCTCACTCTCTCTCTCTCTGTCTATATATGTGTCGCTCTCTCTTACTCTCCCACTCCCTCTCTCTCTTTCACTTTTTCTTTCTTTCTTTCTTTCTCTCTCTCTCTCTCTCTCTCTCTCTCTCTCTCTCTCTCTCTCTCTCTCTCTCTCTCTCTCTCTCTCTCTCTCTCTCTGTCTATATATGTGTCGCTCTCTCTTACTCTCCCACTCCCTCTCTCTCATTCACTTTTTCTCTCTCTCTCTCTCTCTCTCGCTCTCTCACTCTATCTCTGTGTCAGTTTGCCGCATTGTCGTGCCCTCCCTTTTATTCTTCATGTCCTTCTATCTTACTCTCTTTTCCTCTCTCTTCTCTCTTTAGTTATTCCTTTCTCACTCTGTCTATATGCCAGTCTCTTTCTTTAAATCTTTTTCTCTCTCCCTATTTTTTCACTCACTCTCTTTCTCTCCATGTCTCTTCGTCTTCTATCGCTCTCCCTCTCTCCTCTTTCTCTTTCTTTTTTCCTTCCTTTTCTTTCTTTCTCTCTTTGTACATACATTTACACATATATCTCATCATATTTTGCACATATATCTATCGCTCTCGCTTACTCTCCCACCCCCTCTCTTTATTTCACTTTTTATTTATTTTTTTCTCTTTTACTAACTCTCTCTCTTTCATTCTATTTGTCGGTCTGCCGATTTCTCTCACTATCCCTTTCTCTCTATGAGGCCGACTATCTTTCAATACATATCTGATGCACTCTCTTACTGTCCCTTTTCTCTCTTTCTCTAACTTTGATTTCCTCTCTCTCTTTCTTTCTTTCCCTCTCTCTCTCTCGTTCCCCCTGTTTATTAGTCTATCTGTCTATCGCTCTCTCTCACTCTCCTCTCTATTTCTGTCTATATATTTGTCTGTTATTCTCTACGTCGGTCGCCCTGTTGCATTATCTTACTCTCCCTCCCTTCCCCTTCTCACGTTCCTCTCTCTGTCTCTCTTTCTCTCTCTCTCTCACTCTCTCTCTCTCTCTCTCTCTCTCTCTCTCTCTCTCTCTCTCTCTCTGTATTTCTTTCCCTTTCTGCCTCTATGCCTGTCTCTTTCTTTAACTCTCTTTATCACTATTTTTTCTCTCTCTTTCTCTCACTGTCTCTTCGTCTGTCTATCGCTGTCCCTCTCACTCTTTCTCATTCTCACACACACAATTCTATAACTAATCAATACATTCACTCACAGCAAGAACTATGTATAGAAAATGGATAAATTTCTTGATTTGCTTTATATCGATTTTTAATACGGTGGTGCCTACACGCTTACTGCATGGAACCAAACCGTGTCAGCCTTTAATTACGACAAGATGCTCAAAGCTAACTAACACGCATATGACATCGTCTTTATTTTGTTCAGTTGACTGGCTTACAGAACAGGTTAGCCATGACCTACAGTCTCAATTTTGTCAAGTTATGTGGTATGTATGCAAAATGTAAAACATTATGGAACACACAACTACACACTACGTGTACTTAAATATCCATGAGGGCGAAACATGGTTGGCACAATTGTTAGGGATAAAAATGGTAGTAGGAGTCTCATCAGCCAAGGACTTTTTGGCTACCTAATAAATGATATTTAAGTTTATGAAAATTCTTTACAATAGAAATACTGGTTTTTAGACGAATATATGCTACTATGTTAAGTTGTACTTGCTGTTGATCAATGATTTCTGGCAGATGTAATCACTTACCTTGGGCGTGATAACTTTGTGACTAGGAGTTGATTTTGCATGTCTGTCAGCGATGTCTTCTTCAGTGGAAGATTCTGGCAGATTGTCCGCTGGTTTCACCTTCCTCTTGAGGAGTTCCTCTCGCCTGCGGCGAGCGGAGGCGGGCGTTAGGACGGCCCCCTGTTTGGGGCTGCTCGTTTGGGCGGTGCTGCACTGCACGGCCTCGCTTGTCCCTGTGTTCCCCGTATTTGCTTGGACGTAGTGCTTCCCTGTCCTCAGGTTGATGTAGTACTCCGGAGGAATGGATGCCCCCGGCGAAGTTCCGTCAGTCGAGTAGCCGGTCGAATACGCCGACTCGGGAGAAGAAAGGTTTGTCACAGCGTTTCCTTTCTCCTTCTGGTCATCAGTCATCGGAGTCTTGTCCACACTGTATTGTGAGGACTCCTTTGAGATTTGGCTCTCTTTTCGACTCGATTGTTCCTAAAAAAACATTCCTCTATCACTATCACAACTAAATAAACCTATTGTAAAAGTTATTTAAATGTTCAAGTAAAACAAATTTTTGCCATTCTTACTCCCTTGCAATCGGACGTCACACCTCCCTGCCTCCGTCCATTCAATCGACTGCACAAAAATTAAACTCCATTATTATTTTATTTTATATTTGTGTTAAAGCGGTGCAGACGTTCACTGTGACATGTAGCGAGTGAATAAAAATGGCAAATGACATAAAGCGTTACTGATCAAATTGAGTTTTCACATTGACAGCAACTCAAGCAAAATAGTGTACGTGCATGTGGCCCTTTTGTGTTTCACTTCTACGGTTTGTCGATTAAGTGAATCAAACGTGCCTTGTATATTTCAAATTTACGATAATGATTACGTTGTATTGTTTAAAAAAATTCCAGAAGTTCGGTACTATTTCTCCGGATTTACTTACGCCAGCATGAAATGATCAAAGCACACATGAAATACAACACAATGAACTTTTACTAAAACGCTTACAAATATGTATAACTTTCAGGGTTACTTATTTTTTTAATAAATGCAAATTACATCAATAATTAATGATATTTTTATAACCGCAAAGGGAAAACCTAAGCTCAGACTGATAGAAAAATTTATGGTTATTATGGGGATGACGCTATAGAAGAAAGCCCAGTCCTTAGTCTTAAAGTTAATTGGGTTTGAAGCGAGAATTTTGATTTGGAAAACGATGGTCGTACTTTAATCAATGATGATGACGAAATTTAACCATTCATAAATAACATTGCAGCGACACTTGAAGGGTTTCAACGCATCTGACAGTAGCTAGTTGTCGGAGTGATCGGTTTCTTATTGACTGAGAAGAATTGGACCTCGAATCGGCGATTCCTTCCTAAAACAACCTATTTTTAAAATGACTGGGTATGAAAAGTGGGCGTTTTACAACAATATACAGAAAGGAAAATGTTAGGAAAAACGCAGCGATACACCGTTAACAACTCTAAAATTCGGATTACGTCACAAGAAGGTGAATGAAGAACACACAGAGCGGTTAGTCATCAATTTACCAAAATTGGTTTTCCTCACATTGCCCCTTTAGAGATTCACTTTTTCCAGGCTATGAAAAACTCCATTAATGGTGTTTGCTAAGTTTGCTCAAAAACCATTGGTCAAGTTCTGGGAGAACGGAATTACATAATTACATGGAACATGGCAACAGTCAGTGGAACAAAATGGTTTATATATTGTTGATTAATTTTGTTTACAATAAGGTGAAATATTCTTTGAATTTACCACGCAAAAAACGCTAAGGAATTATTTTACAAATCAATATGAAGTCATGCCCCTTATGCAGAGAAAGGTTGCTCGATTATCCCACATAATAGAGGCGTGTCATGCCTCGGCTCCGTACAGAGAGCGTGTAGGCGTGCCGCCGGATTTAAGAATGGTTCTCGGACACGGTAGCGAGTTTTAGGTCCCCTGTTCCGTTTTTAAGAGAAATTGGGAATTTTTCATGGTATATAGCCGTCAAGATACGTGTTTTGTATGAATAAGTGTATTTATTAGAGTGAATGGGGATGGGCCGATGGTGGAATTGCATCCCCATCGCCCTTCGAGCTATGTATGTGACTTGAGTCGGTGGTGGAATATTTATAAAAGTACCCCATCGACCCCAATTAGATAAGTTCGTTATCTACTAAATAGAGTGAATGCAATTTATATAAGTGTGAATGGATTTTTATTTATATATAAAATATAAATAAAATAAAAATATAAATATTATATATATTTTCCATGATAGGCAATAGGATTATAAGATGATGAGGCTTTTTAGATTTTGGTTCCTGATAGTGAAAAATTTCCATTAGGTTGTGAAGTGGTTCTAAGGTCATAATTGTAAATCTTGGTATAATGAAAAAATAATTTCATTTTTCTGCACAGAATTCTTTAGATATTTCAACAAAATGTCTTGTATTAAAATTATTATAGTACTTTGAGAAAGTACAATACTATAATAATTAGATAAAGGCCAAAAATTACCCAGAAGAGTTAACAATTAATTCAGAACAAAGTTTCAATTAAATAATTACTAATAAGTCATTTTTTGCGTCAAAATATGTGTTTCATGTTTCTGTGTTTTGTGTAAGTGAGTGTATTTATTAGAGTGAATAGCATTCCCATTGCCCCTCCAGCTGTGTACGTGACTGGGGTTGATGACGGAATATTACACCAACGACCTTAATTAGATTAGTTTGTTAGTGTATGCAGGAATTTTGAGTATATGAATGAATGAATGAATGAAAAAGTACTTTATTAGATAACAAAAGAGAGTAAAAAAAAAAATTGTACATAAACAAAAAGCACATTTCGGCAATGGTTATCAACCGTCTGCCGGAGTCGGACTATACATTTTTAATAAACAAGGAAAATATTTCTTCTTAAGGAATAAACAAAAGAGAGAGAAAAAGCTATATAAATAAACTAAAATAACAATATATCTATTTATGCACATATAAATGAATNGAGCGCACCTCAAAATATCCCGAGATACCCCCCTCCCCAACGACTGCAGAGCGGGATTGTTTAAATAAGGATTTCAATATTGAAAGAATTTTTATTGAGTATATGATGGAGGAATATTGAGTACTCCATCCACCAAATAGAATGAATGCAATGTATATAGGTTAGAATGTATTTATTTGTGTGAATGCGTATTGAATGTGTGTCGGAATATTTTGCATGCGCTCGGGGCTGAAATGACCAAGCTGTCGAATGCTCCTTTAAAAAAAAGTAATATACTTCTATTTCAAATCAAATCTGCTTTCCTTTATTTAGCAAATACTTCATCAGTTTTTGGGAGCATCATACCCACTCATAATTGTCGGAGAGACTGGCCCTTAGGAATATCATGGCAGATATTACGAATTAGGGCTACGAATAGACGATATCAAAATTTAACCAATTTTTTATGGAGATTCATCCAAACACTCTTGGGCATTGAGGGGCAGTTGCGAAAACCAAATTGATGACAAAAAATTACGGATTGGAACAAATCTTTTTTAAATCGTTTTCCCAGCATGGGTAGTAGACCTGTTGGGCAATATGAGGTAGTATAATGTGTTCGTTTTATTTTGGTTTAGGGATCCGGATATAGATAAGCTATATTCCAAGCTAGGGAAAAGTAGGTTGTATGAAATATGATGTACTTTTTTGGGATGTATTAGATGAGTTGTGAATAACAAGGTCCAAGACCTAAAGTTTTCTTTGATTTGAGAGCCACGGTGTAATAACTGTCACAAGGCGCAAAAGCTTCAGGAAGGAAAAGTGTAAATTTTCAGTGATAACAGTGAACATTCTCTTTCGCTTCAGCATGGCCCAACTTGGATTTCTCGAACATAACTGAATCTTTATGACAACTCAAAAATCACATTGTTAAATTTAAAAAAATATATATAACCCTCAAAGTTAACATACATACAATAAGCACTACTTTAATTTTTGAATTATTACAAATTTTACATTGTTTACACATACATAATTAGATATTTTAATCTATGCAAGCTAAAAATGTATAAACAAAGTTAAAATTTACTATATTTCTATAAATAAATACGTCTTATATATTTTCAATTTGCATACGTTAAGCACAAAAAAAATCTAAAGCGTAAATTATATTAATATAAATTTTAGTTAATCTGTCTGTGAGTATGTGTCAAAATTTGATTTAATTTGAATAGTTCAGGGTACAATACAATTTCAGATTTTTTCTCGGTAATATAATTAATTTGTGAGTTACCAGCTAATTTATAATTTATTATTATTAGATGACTGAAATGAAGTAGGAATACCCAAAAATCAGGTTTTCTATCTATAAACGCCGAGAAGATACTATTTTGTAAATTTCTTACGGGAAAAAAGCATGTCATACAAAAATGTTTTCTACGTTACTTATTAACTTTTTTTATATAAAAATTTAGGAATTTTTTAAAAAATTTACGTTAAATTATGTATAGAATGAGTCATCTCATGAACTCAAATGATTCTTTCGCTCTTACAAGCCTTAAAAGTTTTAAACGATGGAAGATCTTTTTAGAAAAAAACACAAATTCACTACGATGTGAGGAAAATTCACAAAAAAAAGCTTCATTTATTATTAAGCATTTGTATAGTACGCCTGGTAGAATCAGTACTATTTTCAAAAAGTTTGGTTGATCAAACCCTCAAAATCTGTTTATCGTGGAAAAATCAAGATTTTATGCGAAGGTGAAGATTTAGTACATATTGATGACATTTTTTTTTTTAGAAACAATGAATACTACACATTAAAATTACGAAAAAATGGATTTACTTTATAAATTAAATAAAAAAAAAATTAAAAGGAAAAGCAGATAATTTGTTTTGTAGAAGGACTGACAGTCTAAAACTCTTTTCGCGATAAAGACTCCAAAACTTGTCAGTTAGTTTTAATTTTTTTAAATTTAATTTTTATTTTAGTTTAATCTGTAATATTCAGTTGGCCTTTAAAAAAAACCGCATGTCATCAATTCGAATTAAATCTTCCCCTTCGCTTAAAACTTTCCCATGATAGAGAGATTTTTTTTTGGTTTCGATTTACCATACTCCTCGATAAAAGTATGTACTGATTCTACTAAGCATACCATTCAGTCTTTATTAAATGTAGGGGTTTTAGCAAAGTTGGCCAATATCAAGGAAACCTCGTTTTGGCTTAGTGAATTTTTGAAATTTTTCGGAGATCTGTTTAAATTTTGTAGCTTCGTTCCAGCACAGCAATCAGTTGGATTGAAAGGATTCAGTTGATTTATTCTATGGAGAATTTAATGTCATTATTATAAATAAAGTAATGAAGAAAATCTTTTTGTGAGAAAAGTCAGTTTTCTACCCAAAAGGTTAAAAAAACTTATATCACAATGACAGAATGAGCTAAAAAATTTTCTAACCATTTACCTAACTTGTTTTTCATTGTATAACAAACCACCCTGTATTCTATTATTATTATTTTTTTTTGAAAAGAACTGTTGGCAGTTCTTAATTTAAGACTTTACAATACTGTTTCACCGACGACGTTTATTAATTGTACGAATTCAAAAAATGAGGCGATTAGTTTCAAAATCGCCTCAATCCACATTTTTTTATAGTTTTTCCAAGTTTTTAATGCATTACAACAACTAGGAAAAAAGTTTTGACCAAAAGCTATTCAACACAGCATAAAAACACATTTACACTCATGAGTTCAGATCAATACCGACTCAACCCAATGTTCACTTACTGGTTTTTTTTCCCAATAAAAATGTTATTTTTATTTTACTTTTTTTCCTGCTTAAGATATCAGAATATTGTTTTGTTTTTTATTGATGCTAGGTTTACAAAAATAGGTGGGTCTAGGACCAATAAATTCAGTATAATTTCCAATTATTCCACCAAAATGATTGTTAGCTACACAGATTGCTTCTAAACCTGCTCTATCCAAAATTCAAGTTTAAATTTTTGGCAACTTGCAAACAATATTGAAGAAAACTATGCCTTAAATGCTGGGAGACCTTTCTTCTTTCAAATAAAAATTAATAAAAACATCTAAACCGCATTGCATGGCTCTAAAGTGACTTTTGTTTGTCTCTCATAAAATTTTGAAAATGGTTTTCAAACTAATCGCGTCACAATTATGTTTTGTTCACGTGTCCCATAAAGATTTGACGTTCTGCCAGGTCAAATGAAAAAACGATAAAATTATTCGTTCATTCACATTCGTTCTGTCACAGCCAACGGTTTTATTATTGAAATAAATTTCAAGAGATTAGAATAACAAGAAACATTATTGTCGGTGTTATTTCCTGATAAATCATGGCACAATGACAGGTTTACATTACAATTCTCTGCAGGGTGGGTGCAGTAGTAATGACATTACAATTGTTGAAAAGCCTGATTATGTTTTTTTTAATCGGAGAATTGATGGAATATATATACACTCTTTGTTGCTTGAGTTTTGATTAATTTATGAAAAGTTATCATGATGGTTTAATAGTTTAGAGGGTTTATTGACTTGGTTATTAAATAATATAAAGAAGTGATAATTTCTTGGACCACCTAAGAATTGTTATCTATGTGCTTGATCTATTAAAGTTGAAATTGTAACAAAATAATACTGTCACGGTAAGAAAACCTGAAGGTATTTTTATCATTTATCTCGACGTTATCATGATTGTCTTACAGCGTCGGTCCTAAAGGATCAGATGGCCTGTTTATCCTAATCAAAAAGCATGCTACCGAAGTCGAAACGCTTAAAGTTTCAGATATAACAGTCGTTCAGCTTATTTAATTTTACTTACATAACTGAGCCGGGGACTTGTCGAGGGCGAGTCTTGAGGATTCTTGCCCTTTCCTTTGGACCTGTTTTGCTTTTTTCGTGCTCGCACGATGTGCGTTTCCATCCACGACCTTAGTCTGGTTCCCAACATTTGCCCTTTGCTCTATGTTGCACTTTCAGCCCCGTCCATTCACACGAACTCGAGGATTTGCAATTGACACTCGATTCTTCCAACCGGTTGGTTCCAAGACGAAGAAAACAGGTCCTGAGACCGCTTCGTTTATCTTTCCATTCGCCTTGCCTAAGATCTCAGATAATCTGGAACAAATAATCAAACATAAACATAACATTATTATATAAAAATGACTAAAACTATAAAACAAAAAAACAAACAATCTTGATTTCTGTGAACGTCCTCTAAGAAAAGCTGTAGCCCAATTTATCGCCTCTTTATGGTAGTACTCAATACTGTCATGCAATGTACAGTTTCGACGCTTATTTTTTCTTTATTTGTATTTAATTATCACTGTTAAAAAGCCAAGTCTGACGTTGTTAATTAACGGTAATTTGATAATTTTGTCATATTCAGTGTGTCTGCATATTTCTCTTCGCTTGTTCACAATGGTTTTAATTTTTAATTTCTCTTGCAATATTACTGTTTGAAGGTTTAAATTAGGGTCGTATATATTTACTAATAAGTTGGTTAGCAGTTGTACTTCGAAGCATAGCAATTATTTTGAAGTTAAACAGTACAAATTTAGCCTTTTATAAAGTTTATAGATGTTGAAGAATATTTCTATGGATTGTTGCATATTTCTCTTGCAATATTACTGTTTGGAGGTTTAAATTAGAGTTGTATATGTTTACTAACAAGTTGGTTAGAGGTTGTAGTTCGAATCATAGAATTGTTTTGAAGTTAAGCAGCATAAATATCACGTTTTTATAGTTTATAGATGTTGATGAACATTTGGATGGATGTTCGCAATATTTATCGTGCAATAGAACTGCATGAAGGTTTAAATTAGGGTCGTATATATTTACTAACAAATTGGTTAGCGGTTGTACTTCGAAGCATAGCAATTATTTTGAAGTTAAACAGTATAAATTTAGCCTTCTATAAAGTTTATAGATGTTGATGAACATTTCTGTGGATTTTTGCATATTTCTCTTCCAAAATTACTGTTTTAAGGTTTAAATTATAGTCGTATATGTCTACTAACAAGTTGGTTAGCGGTTGTACTTCGAAGCATAGCTATTATTTTGAAGTTAAACAGTATAAATTTAGCCTTTTATAAAGTTTATAGATGTTGATGAACATTTCTATGGATTTTTGCATATTTCTCTTGCAATATTACTGTTTGATGGTTTAAATTAGAGTTGTATATGTTTACTAACAAGTTGGTTAGAGGTTTTAATTAGAAGCATAGCAATTATATTAAAAGTTAAGCAGTATAAATTTCACGTTTTTATAGTTTATAGATGTTGATGAACATTTGGATGGATGTTCGCAATATTTATCTTGCAATGGAACTGCATGAAGGTTTAAAGTAGGGTCGTATATATTTACTAACAAGTTGGTGAGCGGTTGTACTTCGAAGCATAGCAATTATTTTGAAGTTAAACAGTATAAATTTAACCGTTTAAGTTGTTGATGAACATTTCTATGGATTTTCGCATATTTCTGTTACAATATTCCTGTTTGAAGGTTTAAATAGTTTAAACTACAAAAAATAAAATAGTTTTTTAGTTTTTTTAAATTTAACGGTTTAAATAGTTTTAAGAGTCCTATATGTTTACTAACAAGTTGGTTAGAGGTTTTAATTAGAAGCATAGCATTTGTTTTGAAATAAAGTAGTGTAAGTTTCACGTTTTTAAAGTTTATAGACATTGATGAATGTTTCAATGGATGTTTGCGTATTTCTCTTGCAATAGTTGAAATTTTTAAATTAGAGTCGTATATGTCTATTAGCAAGGTGATTAATGGTTATTCTTCGAAGAATAACTTCGATATTCGCTATCGCGATATTACTGTTTATTCATTAAGTCGGAATCAGATATGTCTACTATTAAGTTGGTGAGCGATTATACCTAAAAGTACGTTTTTGAAGTTGATTGGTGTTAATCAATAATTCGATCGATGCCGTCATATTTCTCTCATGGTAATCTTGACAATACCTCATGTTCGAGTCTTCTGACAAGTTGGTGCACGGTTATTCATCAAAGGGTGGTAATTATTTTGAAGTTAGGGTGTAAAAAGTTGACGTTTTCGCAGTTAATATTAATCCACATTTTGTTGGATGTCCACCCATTTCTCCAGCGGTCGTCTTGCCTGAACCTGAGCCGAATATGTTCACTGGTAAGTTAGTAAACGGCTATACGCCGAATCATGGTAATTATGTTAAAGCAGATGTTGTTTAAATTTAACGTTTTTGCAGTTTAGCGATGTTGATTAACGTTTCGATGGACGTCCGTGAGTTTCTCTCGCCGTAGTTCTATCTGAACGACTTCTTTAATGGATAAGTCTATTAACAAGTTGGCGAGCGGTTAAACTTCAAAGCGCAATAATTGTTTTTATGTTAGACTGTATCAATTCCTTTATTTTTGAAGTTTATAGATTTTAATCCATATTTTGATGGATGTACATTTTTCTTCCTGGTAATCCTGTCCGAACGATTTGGTGAGTCGGATAAGTCTACTGTTCTGTGATAAGTCTGTTTTAAATGCAAGGTATTAAATCTCACGTTTTTGAAGTTTGTTCATATTAAACCACATTTCGATAAAACTCCCCGTGTTTCTCTCGCGTTTCATGCTTGTTGGAGTCAGATAAGTCAACTAGCAAGTTGGTGAGAGGTTTGAAGCGTGGAAGCGTTTGAAAGTTAGACTGCAAAGTTCACGTCGATCCACATTTCGAAGGATGTCGGCATGTTTGTCTCTCGATAGTCCCGACAGAACGAAGTTGAAATCGGGGTGTCTTTGGTTAGTCGGCGATCTTTTTAATGTTAGTCAATAGTTAATAACTCCCCTATAAAAACACAACCGATCAGTGATGATCAATTTATTTCCCACAGATTTGTCGCATGTTCCTTATTCAGTTATAAATTTCGTTCAGTTGTGAAAAGTTTAGTTAATGACTGTTAATTGTGAATTTTGCCATATTTGGTGTATGTCCTCGCTTGTTTATCTCTTTGTTTAATCAGATCCTTAATTAAGTCTTCGAACTTATGGTTATTTCTGGTCAGTTAAGTATGAAATAAAAGTTTCGTTATAAAGTAATACGAAACCATTTGATCTTTTCAGATTGATCGGTAAAAGTGTATCCATTTGTAATAAAAGTTAGATTATGTTGTAATTTTCTCTTTATTAAGAAAGTTTTGGGTTTAATGTCTATATAAAAATGAGTTAAGTATGTCAGAACCTATTCAGTACATAAAGTGTAATGGGCAACATTTTTTACATTCAAAAAATCCATTTTATTATGAATCATCGTAATTATGGTTTAAGGTCTTCTTCAGTGTTGTTTTTGTCTTGTAAGAGTTTCATTATCAAGAGTGCACTACTACTTTCTTCTTATTACTTTTTATACCGTTTGGAATTAAAAGGGGGATTTTCCAGAGGCCGTTTGTTCCGATTTTATACGACGGAGCTCGTAATTAGGCAGTACACGGACGCCATTTTCAGGGGTTATTAAAGGTACAACGAATCGGACATAAACTCCGTGTAGTGGACCACCATAACTGGTAGATATGACCGGTCGACGGTTTTCAGGAGTAAGGTCGATTTGCAGTAAATTTGTGTTTAGTGCTTATTGGACTTGCGAGGGAACGGGAGGGTCTATTGAGATTCTACTCTTGATCTTGCCGTTGTACCATCGGATTGAGTCGAGTGTAACTTAATTATAATTTTATTGACCGTTCTACTGTGTCGTATTAAGATATATTGACTTCTTTTAAATCACTTTTGATTTAAGCAGTTAAATTCACTGTTCACTTATACTTTCCTGACATCTGTTTAACTATGAAGTATGTAAACAACGTCTTTGATATCTATGAAAAACTGGAGTTTTTGATTGTTTGTTTATGTACAGGCAATAGGGAATGACGTCGTCTAACACTAGTGACAACTGGAATAACGGAAAGTTCGTTGGTAAACACTATGAACTTTCACTTTGATAAGGAATAAAGGTGTGGCAACGAGTACTCAGATAATAGACCAATTACAAGCCGGTGCCACAAGGGAACATTCTTAGCCCCATCATATCATTTGTACTGCTTACGTTCTATTACGTCCTACCATCATTACCACTTGCACGGATGATACCGCAATTTTGCCGTTTATTTCAAACCTTACCAAAGCAACATTGAACAACTAAGAACACCTTGAACTTACGAAAGACTGGTGTACAAACAGACTTCTAATCAAATCTGATACTTAGGAGCATAGTTAGCAAACTGATGTTGAATTCTCACAAAGCACCTAAAACACAAAAACTTATAAGAAGACTTTGATAACTAGGAAGAGTTTTATGATCAACATTTGACTGTCAAAACTCAATTAACTCTAAACTGTACATTACTGTGACCACTTTTGGCATATGAAGTGGAACTGTGTTATCCAGCATATCTAATCTTGTCAATCAAAAGTCCTCAGAAAACTGGTCAAAGCTGTTTACTACGTGCCTTACTATTCACAACGACCTCGACTTTACTTTTTCACTGATCCGTTCCAACTTCCAAAAATCCCACATAAAGCTTTCAATTCATCTTAACCCTACTGCCCAACCCTATCTGCACTTTTCCATCCTAAGAAACCAGCAATATCGCTTTAAACGACGCTAACCTGAATACCTTAAGTATCGATCTGTTAAAAGTTAACTGGCCAAAGCTACCTAGTATATCACCGATTTTACATCTACATCGATCTCAACTTTCTTTTTGTCGTCTAATTCGTTCCCACTTCCAAAAGTCCAACAACTAAGCTTACAATCCATCTTAAGTCAACTGCCCAAACCTTATCCGCACTTTTCCATCCTGAGATACCGGCAACATCAGTACCTTAAATATCGATATCTTAAGAGTCCATTGATATCTTATCAAAGCTATTGATTACGTCACTATCCATAACAGCCTCAATTTTTAGTTTGTTGACTGTCTCGATCCATTCTAACCCATCTTCTCAAGCCTTCTCTGCACTTTCGTTCATCCTCGAAAGCTTGGCCAGTTATATGTAATTTAATTTTGTCATGGTTTAACAAAACTTGTGCAATTTGTGGCCCGGTCCTGTAGAAGTGAAGAGTTTGTGTTGTGGAGCTGTTGAATCAT